GGGAGAAACCTAGCTGCATTCATGTGTACAAAAGAGCAGAAGCTGGTTCTGGACTTGGCCGGACATGTGGCAATACAATACACAGTGAGGCAACATCAGTGGAAGAACCAGCCACCCGCGTGCTACTAGTCAGCAGGTGTAACTAAGTTCACCTCCTGCGGTACACCAAGAATAGGCATGCAAGTGCCGAACAGAATGCACTAGCAATTTAGGCTGTCAAGAACGCACGGTGTCTAGAATGTAGATTTCTCTGACATTGTATGCCATATGCTAAATAAATAATAACTTCTCCTTAGTTTGCTCTGAGTCTGCTCCAATAATTCTTCAGGCAAAGCCATTTTCATTTCCCCAGTTGCTGATGCTAATCCTTCAGCCACTACTGAAAACCTCTGTTGCCCCCAACATTCGCCAATGCTCTTCAGTATCTCTCTTTTCTTCACATACCACACTTTTCTCTCCAAAATGCTTACCATGCCAAAATCTCCTGCACAGCTACTTTATGTGGTGTGGTTCATGTAGACAACTCAAGAGGGGAAGGAGGTATTGTAAAGTGGTTTTCTGTTCTCAGGGTAATAGTAGAATTTAACAACTGCCAATTTTATGCTTATTTTGAATCCAGGAGTCTTTCTGAATTTCATAATTGTGGGACTACAACTCCCTGCTGCTCCGTTAGTTTATCAAAATAACATAATATATAATAAACATTAGAAAAGCAAAGAATGCAGCGCTACAAAAGTACTTTGTACTAAGTATATACAGTATAAATTTTCTTTATATTAGTTCAGATATATTCTTGATATAACTTTTAGTCTTGAGTCATCTTTTGATAAGAGCTTCCCATACAATAATATGGGCATGACATACATGACAACCTCTCACATTATTTACTGACAGAGAACTTCTACAGAATGAGAAAATGAGCCTCACAATCTTGCAACGCATGCTGGGCTCCTTAGTTGCATGAGCAAAGGGATGGTCCTTGTATCAATACACATCGACATTAATTTTGTCCTTTACCTACTGTGCCACAGCCGATATGTCTACTCTCTAACTGCTCCTGTTCCTTGCTTATGACAGATGCTTTGCCTAGTCAAAATAAAGAAGTGCCAATATTAACAAATAAAATACAATATACAAAGCACACCTGTGGTGTGTAGGTGTACAGGTGTATAGAAAAGAAAAGTTATGTTAAGGCACGTCAGTTAAGCACAATTGGAGCACACTTGCTGTAAGTTGCTAGTCTAAAGATTCTTGAACTACTTGGACTAGAAAGATATGTGAGACTGCAAAGCATTGTTTCTCTATTCTACACATCAACTATAATGGGTCAAAATATTGGTACCTACCATGAGAATGGCAGAAGAGAAGGATAAAGTTTTTCTTTGAATGGATTCCAATGATTGCTGAATAGGATTCAAACTGACAATAGATAAATAAATTTTACTTTCTTTTATTAATTAATTTATTTATTTATTTAAACATCCATCACAAATGTATAACTCTGGGTGGCTTACAACATTAAAGTAATAAAATATATAACTGTATATTCTAACAGTCATATTTTAAAAATGTGATGGGTTGTCAAAACTATTAACAAAATATTACTGGGAATATTATTAAAATAATAATAGAAAAATATTTTTCCACAGCAGTAAATTGTAGACTTTAAACAAAGTAATTACCATACAGAACATCTATTTCTTAATGGCAAATTAATGATATAGTATGATGGTTTTGTTTCAGATTTGTTTGTTGGGGAAAAATCGTAACTTTAATATATATTTAGGATAACCTTAAGATGTATTTGCACTTTTTTAATAATAATTTTTATTGAAGTAAAAATATAAAGTTTAAAAACCTAATGCAAATTAAGAAGAGCACATACAAAAAGAAAAAGTCCAAACAAAAAGATGTACAGTATATAAGTATTATCAGACAAGTATAAACAAACTCAGTAACTTATCATCTCTGATATTTCAACAAAATATCTGTTCTTCCCTCAGGTTAAACTGCATCCATAATTACTCTCATCTCTTATCAATAGACATATTATAATATCTCATCATTCAGTCTTATCTCATATTATGATATCTTAGCATTCAGCAAAAGTACATTAAGACCTAGTAGAAGTAATGTTTACATTTCTAGTTTTAGTTTAGTTTTAATAAGTAATGTTTCTAGTTATTAAAAATTTAATAAAATACATCAGTTTTATATTCCTTTCCTTGGGCACAGTAATTGCTCACATTCTCCAAAAATACAGCAAAATAAATCTCTTCCCATGTTTTATCTGTTATCTATAAAGAAATATTTAAAGCCTATTTGTTCCTCGTTTAAAAAAATCCATTAAGAGCTATCAGAAATCAATGTTCTGGGCAACCTATTTCTTTTTTTCAACTGGATTTTTCTTTTTAAAATCCTTAAACTTGCATAAGGCATCTTTCATCAAGGAAAGAAGGAAATTTATCCAGTGTAATGAAATTTATCCTTCTGAAGGTTCATAACATCCATAAAGTCATTAATAAGCAATTCCTTAGGGTGGTTAAGAGAAGATATACATAAATCTAATGTCTGAACTGGGGCTGAATTGCGACCTAGGCAAGATTACTTTCCCTCGGTTCCCAGAGTTCTAAAATTCACCAGAGACCAATGTCTTATGGTCCCCTTGTGGGGAGCCTCTGCTGTAAAGTATTTGTGATGATCTTGGCTTCTTCCTTACTCCAGAGAGAAATTCTGATGAGCTATTCCATTCATTGGTTCTTTCCACACAACCATCAACTCTTCTGTCTGCAGAGCCATCCTAAATCCACCATTGCTTCACTGAAGATCAGGATATTTCACTATCTAAGTTGTGTTCATCCATTTAGGTCAGAATGCAATGAAACAAGAGATTCATTAATGCATACACTGATTCAGAGGCTTTTAAATATGAATATACAGCTGAAACCAGATTTTTCCCCCCTCTTGGGACTGATGGATAAAGAGTTGGAAAAAAGTCTCCAAATTCTGTTTTTATATGTGATAACCACAGTGAGATTGTACTCATAAAAATGGAATATTTGGCAATTTCTACAGTTACAGAAGAGTGGCTGATGAAGATGAGAGAAATTGCTGAGATGGCTAAATGGACTGTCTGATTAGACAAAAGACAATATTTACCTTTGTTGCTGACTGAAAATCCCTTATGGACTTTTCATGTAAAACAGAAAAAATGAACTTATTATGTATTTATTTATTAAAATTCTACACTGCCCATCTCATCTAAGTGGGCAGTTTACAACAACCTAATAAAATAAACGTGTGACTAAAGGCATACTTGAAAAATATTAAGAACAAAATTAAGAATTACTGACTAAAAGTAAGATCAAAGTTAAAAAAATTTCAGAAGATTAAAAGGTTAACCAAGGAGAAGAAGTGATTATGAGTTTGATTATTAGATACGATAGGTTATAGAAAGAAGAGAGACACAATGTAACTTTAGAACAGGAGAGATCATTCTATAATTGTACTTATACCTGCCATCAATAAAAGCAAAAACCACTTTTTTATATCTCTTTACTTTCTTTTCTTTCTTCTACCATCCTTTTTCTTTTTGAACTTGAACTTTCTTTTTTATTTATTTCTTTCCTTTTTTCCATCTTATTTTATAATAGTTTTAATTTGTAGTCATTTTTAAATCTTTCAGGAAAATTCTATTTGAAAAAGGAACAAGATTCAGTAATATATTTACAGTGGATCTCTTCCTAATGTTTCTGTTTTGTAAAAGACAAAACATCAACATTTTCATAGGTGCAGTTGCAAATGCAGAAAAACCTTTAACATGATTTAAAACCTTGAAGAAAAAAAGACTTTGGCGTACGGTATGTTTGTTTGTATTATTTTAGCAATGTCTATAGTATATAAAAATTCTATTACAAGGTAGGGGGATATGAAGCTATAAAACATCACAAATATTTTCCAGTTATCTTTGAAGATTCGTGAATTAGATTCATGAGCCTTATTGAGGACAGCATTTTCTTCACGTAGAAGCCAATCAGGTATTTATAGGAGACAATGTGTCTAAAACATACTTGCTTCTGTTCCCCACCAGCCAAAACCTGTCGGGAGACAAACAGCAATCATAACATCTGATGAGATTATTCTCCATAAATTTGTCTAATCCACTCCTTTAAAAAGAAAAAAAAGCCATTTGGTAGATTAACAAAGCCCACTCTCCATTTTTCAGCGCATAGGATAAAAAAATGATTAGTAATGGGAGTGTACTATATTTCCTTATTTTTAAAGAAAAAAAATCCAGAACATAACAATACTTCATATAAGATTGTGTAGCAGCCAGTATAAAATAATCCATATTTAATTTCCAGTGTTGTAAAAAATGCTACTTGGAAATCAATACAGCTGTACGGCTCATCATATTGCTTGTTAAGAAAAGTTCCTGATAAGCTATGTTCCTTGTTTATTTCTCAGAACAGACTTTAACGTTCTATAAATATTACAATTTGATTATACCAATATTTCCATTCACCACTGGCTAAGTGTAGTAACATCTTCTACTTTTTTGTTGGTGGATGTACAGGTAATGTGGATAGATGTTCATGTAATTAAAATATTTTTAATAAACACATTTCTTACTTTTTTGAAAAACTTGGAACATAAAAATAGTAAAAAATAAAGTAACTATGCTTTTAAAAATGAAATCCTGCCCACCCTAATTTTGTTAATCCTGACTATTGCATTCTAACCTGAAGAGTTTCAGAAATTATACTAAATAACTCAATAATTATACTAAATAACTCAATAATTAACTATTTCTGTTAGGTGTACAAATTATGGAATTTATTATATGCTAAAAATGCTTTCAGGTTTAAACAAGCTTACATTATTATGAAGATGGATCCAAACATATATAAGATACACAATATACATTTACACATCTTAATTACATATTATATAAAAATAACATCTTCAAAAATCACAATGCTTATTTTCAAAGTACTCTATAGTTATAATAACCATGCAGACAGGATACTGATAATTTATAAAAGTGATAAAGAAGGGTTACTTCATATAATTAACTTTGTTTGTGTAGTCAGAATTGATACCAGGGTGCATGGGATTATTTCACACTGAGCAAGAGATTATTTAGAGGAAAAGAGGAAAAACTGAATCGGATATTGATTTATGTTTATACATTAAGACTTATACCCTGCTGGAGATTAAAACTCTCTGAGTTCACATAGATGTATAAAAATTACACAAAATGTAAAACACTCATGCATTAACACAATTACATCGTATAAATAAAAAAGATAATATATTTCTCCTTTTTCTCTTCTGATTGTAGCAAATGCTCAGAATGTTGTGGCACGAAAAAGTAAAGCTGAATTAGCGAATGTTCATCCTGGACCCTTCCTGTTAGTTGGCGCTGTTGTTCTCCCCCCCATGGACAGCCTGATCCCTTGATTCAAACTGGCAGGTCAAAATGGAATGTCCCAGTTATGTCTTTCATTGTCAACAGCTCATCCATATAACCTGCAGCTTCTGTATGTGTCACCCTGGTCTAATTTTTAACCTTATCCTCTTGATAGTTTTCCAGGAAGGAGAAAAGAGAAGAAAATACAACATCAAGCGCCTTGCTTAGGAGAAATTGGGGGCGGATAATATCTGGATTAAGAATCCATGGACCAAGGAGAAAATCAGAGAGGAGGGGGGAAGCCTTGATTTTCTTCAGAATTATAGGATTTATATACATTTTATGATATACCTGATACATATATTTTTGTCAACTATTCAACTTTGACTGAAGAATTAAGAAAGAAACAAATGGAATTGATACAGAGATAAAGATGTAAAATATTTTCCCGTTATAATCAAAGGGAACAGAATTCCACGATTTGACATCTATTTTTGTTTCCCTGATTTATTTACTTTTTGAGTTGGAGGGGACAAAAGTCGGCATGATGTACTTATGATTATTGCATATTTTGATATCATTAAAATGATTACCGGAATATTACTCACTGTAATATTCCTTTCAGCACAGAAGCTGCATGATTTTATGGTTTTAAGGATCAACTTTGAATCCCCCCCCCTCCATTGTTGCTGCCTGTAGTATGATGATAGTCATTGAGGAAAAAGTAGGTCAGTGAAATAATGGCAGTTCTGGAAATAATACAGATTGACAGTTGTTGAGCATAATCTGCTGAATAGCCACAGGGGTGGTGGAGAAGCAGCAAAGCTCATGTGTCCACATGTATGGCAGCTGGGTGCAAGGGGCACCAATAAACCCTTTGCAAATTAAATATGCAGCATAGACTGAGTAACAGTGTATTTTAAAATTCTGAACACAACAGATTGAAATTTTAAAAATTCCCGAGACTCCAAGGATAGGAAAAAAATATGCATTACACTTTCCTGTTTATTTATTGGTATTTCTTAATTTGGTCTCTCCCCCCCTCCCTCCATCATCGATCTGTCTGTCTGTCTGTCTCTATGTCTGTCTCTATGTCTGTCTCTATGTCTGTCTGTCTGTCTGCCTGTCTATCTATCATCTGTCTATCTATCTATCTATCTATCTGTCTGTCTGTCTGTCTGTCTGTCTGTCTGTCTGTCTGTCTTTCATTTTATTCAGTGTTAGTCCTAATAAGCAGAGTGGTCTATTTTAATGCTTATCCAAACAAAGGCTTTCATCAAAGGAACAGAAAATTAAAACCGAAAATCCAGGACACAAAGGCAGAAGACAGAAGGACACAATTATCCCATTTCTTACAAGGTTCTTTTTCTAAAGAGAATCACAAAGTTAAAAGGAGGGCAATCAGATTTGGGTCGGAAAAACCCCTCAGTGCCAGAAAGAATTAGGAAGTTGTCTCCTTGTTCTGATTTAATGGCCACCTAGATTTTACAGCTAAAATCTGATAGTCTAAATAAAGTATTTCTTTGAGAAACATAACATAGCTATTTATTTTTCAAGAAAAAAATTGTAAAATAAAGTGTGGATCATCCTTTGACTAGGTGTTTATATGAATACAGGCATTATTATTTGTATATAAATACAATATTATTTGTATATATACATATACATATATGGCGTTCGGCTTTGTTCGGGTATTTTCCCACGTCATTGTAGTTGTTCTTTTAAAGTTGTAGCAACGTTTCAGCAGAATCTCATCTGCCATCATCAGGCTTCTGTATAGTGTTAGTCTGTGAGTCAGTCAGACTTTTACAGTGGTTTCAGATTTAAATTTGGGGCAGCCTATTGCTGTGTCAGAATGGTTTTTTCTTCATCCTGATTGGTTGGGAGTCTTGGTCTGTGTTTATTGGTCTCGGAGTTTGCTGTGTTCTGCTTGATTGGTGTCTCTAATATCTAATATACATATACATATACATATACATATACATATACATATACATATA